GATAATGATATGCCATTAGTCATATGGAAGTGGTGGTGTTAGCAACAAAGAATGATGATGATGTCTTTTGGTGTGGTGGTGGGATGGATAGCACAGTGAAGGTGGTACGATGAGCTATAGGTGAGGTTGGTTGGGGACAAGGGTGGTTGTATTGGATGTTAAATGTTTGATGAGTGATTGAACAAGCAAATAGGGGTCATATTAGTCCCTAGGGTTAACCTTGTGGTTGTAGAATGACAATTCTCTCCATTTATAACTAACATTTATAAGAAAACTATTAACAAAATAAATATCAAGAAATGAATTGTTAGGTAACATGCAAGAGAAATGAGTATCATAAAAAACCTTTAATTACAACTACCAATATCAAAATACCAATGTTTAATATGTAAAGCAAATAATATGGAAATAAAAGTAATAAAAAGATTTAATATCACTTGTTTGAGAGATTTAAAGGTGAAATAGAAGAGTTTGGCTAGTGTACACCCTTTTTTAATACTAATTCTTTCAAAACTCATTATAGAATAAATAGAATTCACAATATTGAAATGTCTCTAAACATAATAAAATGTAAAAAAAAAAAAATGCCAAAATTGAAGAGATCTCACCTAAAAGCCTTGCAAATTAGTTTGAAATATAAGAAAATTGAATCAAGACATACTAAATCTAATTAATCAAATAATGAACTAAATCAAATGAACCAACACAAAGTCAACCTTTGGACCAGTCAACATATTGCATATATAATCCAACAAAAGTGGGTTGAATTCAACCAAGATAGTAAGGCCTATTTATAAACCCTTGAAGTTCTCAGTGGTTGCTAATGACTAAAAATCATTAAAGAAAATAAGCAAATATGCCAACTAAATAGCAAAGTTCTAAACCCAATTTGGATCCAAAACTTGACATAAAGATATGATTAAACTTGGAAATGATGAAGTAGTAGTGAAAAACAAAAGAAGATAATCTAAGAGCTAAAGCGCTATACAATATCAGATTTCAAAGAATAAGATTAAATTTGTGACGAAGGTTTCTTCTCTTTTTTTTTTTTTTCAATATTATTACATTCAAATACTAAATTAAGGAATCAATTTGACATTAAACATTTTTTATGGAGATATTAAACATTAAAAGAAAAAGAAAATGAATAAATATGGATGCATTACTTCTTTTAGATCCCCATTTGGTTTTGAGGAACTTTGACCCCTATATAATATAAAATAATTTACGAATATTTTTTGATACAAATCAATAGATGTGTGCATATCTTAACAATCATAATTACTAATAATGGTTATTTGTGTTAAAAACTTGTCAATTGACTTTTGAATTTTTCATAATAAATGTGTAAATAGCGAAGATATGATAGAATGTTACAATTTAAACCCAAGAAGAAAACCCAACAATAATTTTCAAAATTCTTGCTCACAAAATATTGAGACAAGGGAAAAAATGAATCTTATTGATCTTGAAGATATATTCAATATCTTATAAAAAATTATAAGTGTTACATATCATTACAACTGAAATTGTGAGTTGAAAGGGTTTTGCTTTTGAAATTTCCAAGTACTCAAATTAGTCTTACTCTATTCACATTGAGAAACATTACTCTTGAAAAGCATTTTCAAGTAAAACGAATTTGCACCAATAATTTAGTAGTAGATGTCAATGTGCACTACAATAATTTCTTACCAAACAATCTATATTCCCATTCGAAAAATCTCTTTTGCTTTCCTTGTCCAAATATGTTTCTAACCATAGATGAAGCAATTGTTTAGTCATATGTGTGCATGCTCGTTAGGTCTTCAAAGTTTCTATTAATGTCTTTCTAAAATTTTAAAAGGAAAAGAGTAACAATTTTCTAGGAAAGTAAGTTATTTTCTTTATCACTACTTTAAAATATGGATGAAGGCATGCATGAAAGAATTAGGTATTATTTTGACAATAAAAATGTAAAGAAAGGCCAAAAAAAAAAAAAAAAAAGCACATATGAAAGAAAAAACATAGATAAAAATGAGATGTATAAAATATAGAGTTGCCAAAGTCTATCTTAGTGTTGTGTTTGGTTAGATAGAAGAAAGTTTTAAGATATGTTAATATTTAGGTACCGTGACATTATAATAAAAAAAGGAAAAATTGATTTTTTTTTTTTTTTAAGGAAGGTCTATAAAGTAATTGGCTACACTACTGGCAAAAAGAAGATTTCTCACACGTATGGTTAGGGCTTGAATATTATTCCCTTTCTCTACCCTCTCTCCCATTAGGATTTCATGAACCAGTTGACTTGTTCCATTAAAAATAAAAGGACCATTTTTTTTTTGTTAAAATTAATATTTAGTTTATTAACTATTGACTTGTTGTCTCTTTGGAATTGAAAGTTGTTTACTTTTTTTTGTCAAATTAATCTAAACACTTTAACATCTTAAAAGTTTTGTAAGTTTTTTTAACAAAATTTCATATTAAGGCCTATATTTCACCACAAAAACACTATGTGTCTCAAGAAAATTATATTTTCATGCATGATAGATTAGAACACATAGAATTTATAATCACTTGCCAAAGATAAAAATTACATTTAACGGATCAAATAAGGTGATTAGAAAATTCAAAGATATGAATTGTTTGAGATGAGCATGTTGAGGAAGCAAGAGTCTTGACATTAAGTATGGATTAAAATGCACTTGTCTTTGACAATATTATGTCTACATGGTGCCATAAATTCATTGATCTTAAATTTCATTAAGAAAAATAACAAACTTTCATAAATAAATTATTTTGATACACTTTTTAAGTTTCAATGAAGCGAATATTAATTTAACTCCAATTTTCTACAATTTTGTCTTTCATCAGAACTCTCAAAAGCTTGAAAATTTTCACTAATTTTGGAAGGTAAACCATTTCTCCAAACTTTACCTATTTGTTACTTATTTTTATTATTTATTTTTTTAATTCAATTTTACCTTGCTATATATATATGTAACCTACATGGCAAGAATGAAAAGTAAAAAATTTATGCAAAATTTCAAAGTTATTAACTTTCAACAAGACATTACCAACTATTTTTCCATGCAATTTTCTCCAAACCAAAAGAGCTTTAAAGTCAATATTTTTTCAATACTAGGTTTGGTGAACGAGGAATATTGTTAGAAACATACAATAGTTTTGTGCCAAATGTTAGCTACTTACTTGCTAGTCAAACCAAATTTAGAAAGTAGTCTAAATCAAAGTTCAATCAATTGATAAATTGGGACTATATTTGAATGTTAGTTCATGCTAGTTTACCTATCAAGCTTCATTATCCTAGTCATCTAATATAGAGTTCCCTAGTCTAGTAGATAATTGATTATCTAACAATTAAATAGTTGTTTTTTATAATCTAATTTTTTTTTATTTGTTTAATAAGTCCTCTTAAATTCATCTTAAAATAATAATATTTTTTTTTATTTTGAATTTGTACTAAATTAATTATGGCTTTTTTATTTTTTAAGATAAATAAATGTTTTAAGGTAGATAAATATTTTTTTTTCATTTTTTATTTTATGTTTGGGTTAAGGAGAATGGAAAGGAGAGAAGAAAGGAAAGAAGAAAGGAAAAAGAATTTATTTATTTAGTTATTAAAAGAATTGGAGGAAAAGGGAGGGGAAATTTTTATTTTATTTTATTTTTTCTTGGTTAAACCCCTATTTTGGTCCCTCAACATTATTCAGACCCACTATTTAGTCCCTCCACTCAAAAAATCCTTGATTTGATTCCTACTATTTATCATTTTAACCTTGACTTGATCCTTCCATTAAAACTCTCATGACGTACTCTATTAATTCACGACTACATGATGACATGTCAAATTTTAATACATGTGGGAAGACAACATGATAAAAAAAATGATGATATGGAAAAAATAATAATATGACAAAAAAATATTAATGTGAAAAAAAAAAAAACTTAAATAATTCTTTGTTTCCTTTTTCCCTTCTCTTTCCTTGTCTCTTTTCGCTTGGAACCTTGAACCCAATAGCAACCAAGGAAACCAGGGGCAAAAAATT